CTTTAAGAGGCAAACATTTTGGCACAGTCCAATTACTCATATTTCCAAGTAATGCTTGAAATATCGCCTGTCACTACCTGGGTGATCCCCCCACCCACCAAAATCAACAGACCACTCGCTGGCCAAGCTCTGGTTTAGATCGTAATTAAAGTTTGTGACATAGTAGGACTTTTGAATACATATCTCCTCTGCAATTCTCCTGCGCCCCTCTCTCCCCCCCCCCTCCTCAGTTTTTCTCATATTGTTTTCATTGCTCCTTAAATTAATTTGCACTCCTTCCTGTATGCAACCCCTACCCTCCGTGTTTTTTGTCTCGCTGGAGAATGATGCAATTATTGTTTTCCTTGCGGTTTTTATTTTTAAAAATTAATTTGCACTCATTCCCCTCCCTTCTCTCCCCCTCCCTTACCCCCGCCCCCCACCACTCCCACCACCCCATGTTTTCTCTCGCTTGGGGACAATCAGATTATTGTTTTCAATGTGTTTTTATTTTATATGTTTGCAGCAGAGTCTTTCCTATGGGCCCACCTATCAGTCCCTTCTCCCTCTCCTCCTTTTCATTTTCCATCAGTTTGGAGAAGGCATGCATGTCATAGTCTTGTATTTATATAATTTGCTTTTGCTGTGTGGAGAGTTTTGCTCTCCCCTGCACAGACTCGGGTCTCGTTGGCCAGCTGTTCAGATGTACTAACGTGGGTGGTTGGCGGGTGCTCTGGTGTGGTTTACTTCTTCTTTCCTATCAAACATCTGTTGTCTTTATTTCCCCTCCTTTTTTTGTGTTTGTTACCCACTTGTAACGCCTCTAATTTACAGCACTTATATGACCTAATTGTGTTGCAAGTGCCGTAAAACTTACTAAAACTAAAGATGTACCAACCCCGAATTGTGAACATATTTTTAAAAATGCTTGTTTAATACTGCAGTTTCTTAATCTGTGGTTCTGTTGCATATGCCCATGCGGATGGTTGTGGAGAGCGTCACTGGCTGGTCCTACTTCTTTACTTTTAAAAGAACGAAACAGGTTGTGTCTCTTTTCTGAAAAGTTTTGTTTCCTGAGCTTAAATTATTTTTGAACAGCTCATTGGCTCATATGCATTTGCACAAATGTCAGCCTGCACACTGTGTTAACTGTCTTTGTACATGCAAACTTTTTATATATTTTTGAAAAGAGCATGGCTGTTTAGTCTGGATTGTAGTGTTAATAATGTAGCTTAGTTTTGTCTTGCAGCACAACCACCCCCCCCGCCTCCCCAATTTATTTTGTTGCAAGTGCCGTAAAACTTTCTAAAACTAATCCCCAATCTTCCTTCCCCCCCTCCCAACCTTCTTCCACCCATCCCCCCTCTTCCCAGACTTCTTCCCAACCCCATCTCCCTTTCACCCCCCCACCCCCCAACTTCTTCCCAACCCCATCCCCCTCCCTCTCCCACCTCCCTAATCACTCGGTGTGCCTGCAAACCTGTGTTTGTGTATGTGTTTGCTTTGTGTTTTTTTTATGTGAACAGGGGCTTTTTTTGTTTTTATAAGTATTTGAAGTTATAATAAAATATGCTCCCCCGCCCCCCGCAAAAAAACGAAAGTTTCCCCGGCGCTATTGTGTGGTTTACTCCTTTTATATGAAGCATCTGTTTTTCTCTTTCTTTCCTCCCTCTTTTCCTTGTAAGTTACTCCCAAGCCATACCTCTTCTAGTCTATGACACTTAGTCCACCTACCTATTTGTGTGTTGCAAGTGCCGTAAAACTCTTACCGAAACTAAACCAGCATGTTTTGTTTATTCTGTTGTTTGTGATGGATGAGAGATCTGCTGTTTATCTGAATTTTCTTTCTTCGTGTCATCTAGGCCTTGATGGGCACCCGTTCTTTGAAAGGGAAAGAAAGATCTTGTCAGTATGTTTTTTAGTGTTTTAGGGCCTGATAAATTGCAGCTTGCACTGTATGCTTCCCGGAAAGTTGAAATTGTTTAAGAATTCTAGCAGATCTGCTGGGGTGCAATGTAATAGTATAGATTATAAAGTGCCCTGAGCTTGCTGTTGGACGGGAATTTGTGCTACAGAAATTAAATGCTATTTATTAATTACTATTATTGTTATTGTTACTCTTGTTGGTATTGCTATTGTTATAAGTATTATTACCATTATTATTATTATTTTATTATTATTATACTAGTATTGTTATTATTATTATTATTGTTATTATACTATTATTATTATTGTTATATTATTATTATGTAACTGTCGCATGATAGCTGTCAGCTGAGTGTTCATTCGTTGATCATTTTTTTAGTTAATGTTCTATCTACTCTTTTCGTGGTGTTTTATTTTTCCACTCTTCGTATTTTTTAAAATTGTATTTGATTGACAATATTTGATTGTTTTGGGTGGTTGCTGGATGCTCTTGTGTAGTTTACTTGCTCCTTTTTTCCTATGAAACTTCTATCGTCCAGAGCTCTCCTTGGCGCTTAAAAGACCAGAATTGGGTCGATAGTTCCGTAAAACACCTACTCAATCAATCAATCAAAGAGCTCTCCTTTCTTTTCCTAGCACATGTGTTACTCTCTAATCTCTCTAATCAGCACTTATATGGCTTATTTGTGTTGAAAGTGCCATAAAATAAATTCTTTTGTTTTACAAGTATGTCACTCTCTAGTTACACCTCTGTTCTTCCGCACTCACATTACCTATTTGTGTTGCAAGTGCTGTAAAACTCTTACTGAAATAAGCAAAATGAATAGATTTTAAAAACTTTATTTTTGTAAAGATCTGGTTTAGATTTGTTTTATCAGGCACATCGACGAGGCCCACAGGGGATGGGGGGTAGCCTTGACATCATGGGTGAAAGACGATGATAGATTGTGTCACAATACACCACGGGATGGAATCAGGCCCGCGTCAATTTTTTTAGCTTCTGAAGTTGTTGGTACCGTCTTAACCCCTTCACTGCTGAGTAGACGTATGTTCTGGCTTGTATTCTCTACTTACATCGTTTCATCTGGTTGACAAAAGAAGTTTTAGTGGTATAGTTACAGCTTGTCATTTTGCTTATTCTAAGACTGTTCTCTTGAATTAACAGTTTATTTTGTCGGTACAGATGTTGATGGAAATTTTTCAGCAGTGAAGGGGTTAAAGCTTGTTTTCTTTTATCTTGCTTTCGATGTAATAGATAGGCATCTATTTTATTATTGTTTAGATATCGAGATATTTGCGATGGCAGGAAGCGGGGG